AAAAAAATCAGGTTAGCTGCTAAAAAAAAAAAAAAATCGGGTAAGCTGCCTACGTGCGCTCGAAACCATCAAAAAAACAAAAAAAAATGGTATTTACTAGTAAAAACGAAAGAATCTTGCCTTGGAACTGGTAGGTAGAGCGAGCGAGAGAGAGAGAGAGAGAGAGAGGTTGTGAAATGTGACCAATTTGAGTCTGTATCTTGCATTGAAACTGGGAGAGAGAGAGAGAGAGAGAGAGAGAGAGAGAGAGAGAGAGAGAGAGAGAGAGAGAGAGAGAGAGAGAGAGAGTTATGCAATGTGAAATGTGACCAATTTGAGTCTGTATCTTGCATTGAAACTGGGGGAGAGAGAGAGAGAGAGAGAGAGAGAGAGATGTGCAATGTGACCAATGTGAGTCTGTTCTTGCATTGAAGCTGGTAGAGAGAGAGAGAGAGAGAGAGAGAGAGAGAGAGAGAGAGAGAGAGAGAGAGAGAGAGAGAGAGAGAGAGAGAGAGAGAGTTGTGCAATGGGACTGACGTGAGTCTGTATGCTGGCTGGAAAACTGGTAATGTGCAGGCGACGATTCGATGGATGACAGTTCGGCGGAGCGGCCCGCGACTCCGAGCGGAGGCGCTGGAGGATTAGGTGGTTTGCGCGGCATTGACATGAATCAGGTTCCGTGCATTCCGCCGGAAGAAGAGGCGGAACTGCGCGGAGAGCAAGCGGATTCCGCGCGGCTTCATGCGCATCCCTCGCTGCTTGTCAAGCGCGAGCGCGAGCCCAGTCCCCCCAGACCGTCTGGCGTCTCCGCCGGTAACGGTAACAGTGATGAGGAGGAGGGCACTACCACGCGCAAGAAACTAAGGCTGACCCGGGAGCAGTCACAGCTACTCGAGCAAAGCTTCAAAGAACATACCACGTTGAATCCGGTGAGCATAATAACCATCAGCATCTTCTTTTTTCTTAGGCGTCTCGACGGGGATGGGTATGTGTTCCGCAAGCGTGTGACCTTCCTTTTTGTTTTTCCATTCCCCTCCCCCCCTCGCTCCTTCTCGAGTTGTGGTATCTCTCGGGTCCTTTTGTGCTTGTCTTTTTGTCATTCGGATGCCATATTTATGTACGTAAATATTTTATTTTTCATCATATAAGATGTGTATTTGTGTTCAAATGTAGACATGTATGTCCGTCTTTATACATACATGTACATTCATTCTCAACCATTAAAATGTGTGTGCGTAAGAGAGAGAGAGAGAGAGAGAGAGAGAGAGAGAGAGAGAGAGAGAGAGAGAGAGAGAGAGAGAGAGAGAGAGAGAG